TCTTCTTCTAAACTCCCATAATGCATATATTTGTTTTCCCATAAGTCTTTCTGTCTTTTTTTTTTTTTTTGATCAGACTAGGTTATTTCAAAAGACCTGTTTTCAAGTTCACAAATTATTTCTTCTGCTTGATCTAGTCTGGTTTTTTATTATTATTTCTTCAGTTCCAAGATATCTGTTTTTTATGGTAATTTATCTCATTGTAGAATTTCTCATTCAGATTATGAATTGTTTTCCTGATTTTGTTAAATTCATTATCTGTATTCTCTTGGATCTCACTGAGTTTCCTTAAGATTATTATGTTGAATTTCTTTTCAAGCAGTTCAGAAATTTCAGATTCTTTGGGATCTGTTACTGGAGAATTATTGTTTCTTTCGTGGTGTCATGTTTTCTTCTTTTCTCATGTATCTTGTTTCACTGCATTGATACCTGTGCATCTGATGGAACAATTACCTCTTCCGATTTTGTACAGTGGCTTGTGTGAATGACCTTTACTTGCACATGGGTGCTAGGGTGTTGGTTGGATAAGGTGCATTGTTTTTGTTCTGGGTGGGTGCAGTAGTGCAATATTCATGTGGTTTCTTCAGCTATGGCCAATATCAGCAATGCCTGCAAGTGTCTCAGTGGCTGAGGCTGTAGAGGTTTATGCAGCTAGTTCAACTACTCTAGCTCTGGTTTCCTGGGGGTGGGGTCCTGTCCTGGTCCCCTCTGGGAAAACATGGAGTTGGAAGACTGCCAGATTGTCTCAGTGCTGCTCCCCTGGGGGCAGGGCACCATTCTGGTCTGCTTTCAGGACAAGCATGGGGATGGATGCCCAGTGGCTCAGTTTGGATGCTGCTCCCCTGGGGGAGGACTGCCTGGCTTAACCAAGAAAAGCACAGGGCTGGCCAGGTGACATCTCTGTTCAGGAGCTGCTCCAATGGGGGTAGGACACATGGCTGGTCCACATTCAGGAGAGGTACAGTACTTCCTAAGTTAAAATCAATCAATTCAAATATTAACACACTGAGATTTTTTTGAAAAGCACTACAAAGTACATTCAAAAAAAAAGAGCAAAATTTGACAATATATAATACATAACGCATGAACAGAAAATGTGCAGTGCAATACAGTTGTGCATGGCAATGCATTTACCAACATTATTTAGAATACATTTATCTGCAACCTAATTATACAAGCATATAATGAAAAAATACACACCCATGTTCACATATGCACACACATTCATGCTCTTTTCTTCTCTGAGACAGGGATGGTACTTTCTGCCTGTCACAAACCTGATCAACCAGACATGCCTGCAGGTCTAGAACATTCTTCCTACACACACCAGATATTCAGAAAGCTCTATCTGCTGGATTTAGGGAAAGCCTCTCCTCATTTCTGTCACCTGTTTGCAAAAGACTCATTCTCTGTGATCATCAAAGCAGCAGTTTTAGCAGTAGACTACAGGGAAGTACTTAGCTGTATTTCTAAGGGTATACTAATGCAAAATATTAATTTTGTGAAATAAAAGATTCAATTTATGTTAGCTTTACAAGCAGATTTATAGAACACTTCTGCAGGAAAAAATAGATGTAGGTAGAAATGGTTGAGATGGGTGTATTCTCAAAAGTGTTTTTTTTTCATGACCCCAGATCCACATCACATGCATTTATTTAACAAATACTAACTAGCTCCTATTCTGTGCCATACACTGCCAGCCCAAAGTGACTTGTAATCTGCAAGCTCTGTGACTCTCCCATCTGGTCCAAGACTCCTGATTACCACCCCAACAAGAGTGACTAACACAAAATATCGCTGGCCTGCTTAGAGATATATGTCCATGAGACCTGAGAGCTCATCATTAAGAGGGAACCAGTGAAGTCTTTGGAGGAGCACTCGGGGTGTGGAGGCAGACCAATATGTAAGAACACAATTCCTGTTCTGCTCCTTACTTGACTGAAAAATCCTGGAGAATGTCCAAAAGTCTGTGGACCTAATATTCACAATCTGAAAAGGGACTGTGGATACAATTCTCATGGGATTTCTGTAAGGAGGTCAATAGAAATCTCATAAGACTGCTCAAAACTGAGCAAATGTTGGTTGACAATGGGCAAGTGTTGCTTTCTTTCTTACCCCATTCTTTCCCTACCACAGCAGGGATATTGTTGCCATATACTCAGAGGCATGGCAATTCCAAAATGACAAGAAAGTACCAGTAGCAGCACACATGATGTCATAAAGGATTCTCACTATGATTTCTGTGTAAGAGGATCAGCTAGTTCATGGTGGAGCTTCAGGGGGAACCAAAGCACTCTGGCTGAGGGGCACAAGCTGCTTGATAATGCTTCTGTTATTGCCTTGGATTCTTGCATAACTGAAAAACAGGCATTGTGCTGCTGAAATAACAGTTCAGGAAGTGGATGTGTGCCTGTGCCATCCCTGTCCATCGCGTCTCTCTGCAGCTTTCTATCACATGCCCACTCTCCCGTGTGAATCTCAGCAGGCTGCTTTGCCTGAGCTTGTAGATGTAGCTGTTTGCTAACTCACTTTTTTTACCCTTTCCTCCCAGTGATGTTATTTCTGAAGGACTGTCGGTTCTCGAAGATGGCCTGGACTCTCCCTATACTGCATACATTGACCATGTGCCCTTATCTCTGACATTAATATTGGACTTTTTCTTATCATTTATGAACTTCCAGGAAAATGAGTTGGTTTCAAGGCATTCTCCAAATGTCACCAATAAGGTTCTTTTATGGTGGTGTTTCTAAGTATCATTATGGACTCATGGCTTTTTAACATATTGATGGGCTTCAAACCCCTTTTATAGGATTTTGAGCAGAGGAATGACAAAAGTTGACTTATGCTTTAACAAATCTTTCTGCCTGCTGTGTTGAAAGTTGATGGCAAGGGAGCTAGAGTAAAAGCAGAGGAATGAGTTGGAAGGCAGCATAATCTGGCGACATGGCCAGGGTGATAACAATGGAGGTGGTGAAAAGTGGGTAGACTCTACATATATTCTCAAGGGAGAGCCAAGAGAATTTTCTGATCAGTTGGATGTGGAGTGTGAGAGAAAGAGGGCACTCCAGGCCACCTCCAAGATTTGTGGGCCTAGCATGTGGAATTTCCACGTCAAATGTTCTGCCCACATTTAATTTCACTTCCAATGCCACACAGGGAAACTCTCAAAAGTTGTGAGTAGCAGGACTGTCCTGACAGCGGGTCACATACACAGTGAAAGCAGGAGTTTATCTGAAGCCTGGTCATAATCAGTACATCCTGGAGTGATCAGGAGTGAACATACTTTTATTCATATGTGTGCCATGAGGTGATGTGGAATCATTAATGTACAAAATGTATAACATGCAAAGCCAGAGAACCTTAAGTGTTAGAGCCCGAGAGGGAGCTGGTTTCTAGTGGTCTAGTTATCTTAATCCCCATCCTCCCCAAACACTACTATTACCACCTGCTGGTACGTTGTTTTAGTTCACTGTGGTAAAAAAAAAAAAAAAAAATACCCTTAGTGAGTCTACCTACAGAAGAGAGAATTGAGACTGTCTTATTTCTGTAGTTGCCCAAAAAACCCTTCAAACCTTGCCCCTGGTGAATGAGGTGCGTTGGCGTGAAGCATGAGGAGTCAAACAGCAGCGCAGCTCCTAGGAGTGAATACAGGGGGAAATACAAGCTGTATTGTATGGGCTACATTACCCAGTAAACTAGTTGTCAGAGCAAAGAAAATTAATGAGACAAAGAGGGGCATTACGTACCAATAAAAGAATCGATCCACCATGAAGATATAATGATCCTACTTGTGTACGCAACAAAAAACAGAGCCTCAAAGTACACGCGAAGGAAACACTGATGGAGCTGAAAGGAGAAATAGTTGGATCCACAGTTATAGTTGTGGCTTTCAACACCCCCCTCTCAGCAAGTGATACAATCACTAGACAGAAAATCAGCAAGGCTGTAGAGGATGTGACCAATATGGTCAATACAATGACAGCATCTAAACGACATAAATAGAACACCTTGGCCAATGACAGCAGAACACGCTTATTATTTTTTTCAAGTGTATTGTAACATTCCTCAAACAATTTACAAGAACTGAAAACAGACAGAGTATGTTCTTCGACCATAATGGAATACAACTAAAAGTCAATAACAGAAAGATGGCAGAAAAATCTTTAAATACTTGTAAATTGTAGTGGACTCGTCATTCCAGTTCTTTGTTTACATCCTTGTTATAGAAGAGTCGAGTCTAGGAAGAGTTGTCTATTGGGCTGGGCACATTTCAAGTTGAGCAAAAGGAAAGCTCACTCTTGACATGTGAAGCAGAGTATTTTTGAAGGCAAGTCCGAGGGCAGGAAAACAGTTTAGGAGGTGGTTACTGCGGTCCTACCTGTCATAAAAGCTTGTACTACACCAGCAAATGAAATACAGCTTATTGGTTGTTCATGGAATCAGTTTGGTGACCAGTTGTATTTGAGAGGTGTGAGAGAGGTTGCCCCCCCAGGTATTGATGTAGTTGTTAGAGAAGCCTGAGAGAAGGAAAGGTGAGAACAGCTTCTTGGTGTTTGGCTGGTGTCTAGTGTAACCCATGGATGCACACAACTTGGTTCTTTATAAGCCATGCTCCGTTTTCCAAATGCTTTTTCATTATGCTTCCTTGCTCTTCCCTGATAGTGCCACCTGGGAGATGAGGCTCTCATATCTGGATGAGCAGAGGAGTTTGCTTTCTGGGATTTATATGCTTGTTTCCTCAGGGCACATTGGCACTTTGCTTGCCCTACCGTGGTGTTAGCCCATGACGTGGTATGTGGTAAGTGGACCATTGATGCATCTTCAAACTTGTATTTCTGTTCCCAATTTCAGAACACAGTGAGGATGGTAATGCTCTTCAAGGAATAAATGAAGACAGGAGTTCTTTCCAGGTTAACTTTGACAGGAGGAACCTTCATTATAAACATGCTGGGTGGGAGTTCCCACTTTCACACATACAGAAGGACGATGGAAACGTGGTGATGACTGATGTCCATGAGGACCCTCATGTGAGACAGGAAGTGAAAGTGACCAAGCAGCCTCGTTTGCATGTAACAACCAGGACTATAAAACTCTTTCATTCTCTGTGGTCTTCTTTTTCTTCTCTGACTGGAAAACTGAAGCATGCTACAAGTGGAATAAAGGTGGGGCAATTTTCATGAAATTACTTTTTAATTTTTTGTAATTAATTTTGTTTTTAATTGAAACACACTGGATGTACATATATACGGGGTGCTGTGCGGTGTTTGGATACTAATAGAAGACCTGATTATCAGTGAGGGGAACATATATAGAAGGCTTTCTTAGCATTGATGGACACCCTCCGTCTCTCCCCTTCCCCACAGCACTCCTTATGGCATGTGACAAAACAAGAGGAGCGCAAAATGGCATAATGAGTACCACATGCCTATTAATATGTGGAGAGATAGAAAACCTCCAAAGACAGGAGTGTTGTCTGGAGCCATAGAGCCCGGAGGGCCATGATATCGACATAATCCTGAATCGAAGAAACTGCATGGCTGCCACCCTGCAGATCATTGAAAGGAATTTCCCTGGGGTGAGGCCTTAGGCCTAGTGCTGGTATTTAGGTAGAGGGGTGGAAGAGATGTGGTGGAAGGCAGATTTGTCTCCGATGTCCTAGATAGTAACTGTCACTCTGACTCCCCTCCTGTGCACTATGGGTGTAGGTAACTTTGCAACTTGCCATAGATAACAGGGGAATATTCCATTTACCGGAACAACCCGCCCTGTGGTTTTCTCAGTAAACCATCTGCTGCTCACTTCCTAATCTGCTGATTCCCTACTGCTGGCTATATAAGCTGTGACCTTCTGGCTAATAAACAAGACTTGATCAGAATACTGTCTTGTCTCCATTTCTTGTGTCTTTTGTCCCATCCAATTGCCACTCCCCCCTCCACGGTCCTCGTTGAATATCCCGCGGGTCGGGACAGAGTGCGGGAGAACACACAAGATGGAACCATGGAGAGCTGGTTCAAGGTCACAGTGAGTGTCATGGCAAGGTCTGCATTAGGTAGAATATTCTGGAACCTTCAAGAAGAAAGACCACATTAAACACTTTCAGTTGGATATTTGGAGAACTTCTGAATGGAAAGAAGGGGGATTAAGAAATCTATATTTGGCACAAGTATAAGAAATTGACAGTCCCTTCTTTAGAAGTCCTTCAAAAGTAGGGAGAAGGTTGTACAATAACACGTGGTTGAGTCTGTTCTCCATCTGTAATGCCACATTGTCTCTCTTCTCCCTCCTATTCTTTCTTCTTATCCTTAGATTCCATATGGGAGAAATTATGACAGGACATGGCTAATGAATTCAATCCAGAGCCAGTGCAGTGTCCTCTTCAGCCCGGTCAATGTAAGAGAGGACAGTGGTGAAGCCAGATGAGTGGACACAGGGGAGGGGGAGAGGCCTGGCTCATCGAGGGCTGTTGGCCTGTGACACTATTGCTCTTGCCTACACTCCCTGTAGTGCCACTGTGTCAAAAATTGGGCCCAGTTCTTTGTCCAGGACGCTAGTACTGCCTCCGCACTGAAGGATGTCAGCTATAAGATTTGTGGTGAGAAGAATCAAAAGGTGTGTGCCGAGGGCATTCCGTGTACCTAGTCCTGGGGCAGGAGCACTGGCGGGGGATGGTTGTCATCTTTGGTATTACAGGTCCCGGTGCTTACCCTGCTCTCCTTCCTGCAGATATGTGTTTTTGTAAGTCCTTCGGCTGTACTCTACTCTGTGCAAAATAAGTTGATCCCAGAACAAATGGAGCAGCTAAAGGTAATGAGACTCAAAGCACGTTGTGTGCCCACTTCCCAGACTCACCTCTTCTTCCCCCACCCCCCAATCTCCCTGTCACCACCACCAGCACCTCAGCCTCAGAACTGTTCTGTCCACCTCTGTCTCTGCAGCTGACCATAAACAAACAATATGATTTCTCCCGGCAATCTCTAGACCTCCAGAGGCTGCACGTTGACCCAGGTATGGCTGACAGCAGTAATTCTAGGGCAGGTGGGGACAGAGGGTTCTGCCTGGGAAGGAGACTTAGGGATGGCAAATTGGGGAGGGGTTGGTGCTGGTGCTGGTCCAGCCAGACCCCTCTCAGCCTTCTAATTCCCTTCTCTTATTTTCCTGAAAACTTGGTGGGCCATGATATTGACATAATCCTGAATCGAAGAAACTGCATGGCTGCCACCCTGCAGATCACTGAAAGGAATTTCTCTGAGGTGAGACCTTAGGCCCAGTGCTAGTATTGAGGTAGAGGGGTGAAAGAGATGCGGTATTTAGGTAGAGGGGTGGAAGAGATGTGGTGGAAGGCAGATTTGTCTCCGATGTCCTAGATAGTAACTGTCACTCTGACTCTTCTTCCCCAAAAGCTGTTGTCCTTAAACTTGCACAACAACAAACTGTACCAGCTGGATGGTCTGTCTGACATTATCGAGAAGGCCCCTACAGTCAAGATCCTGAATCTTTCCAAAAATGAGGTGAAAAGAGGGAGCCAGATCAAATTTGCGTTGAGGGTGGTTGGTAGCCCACATCGGGGTGATGATAACAGGCAGGCAAGGGTACCTGCGGGTGCGAGTGGGGACTGAAGGTCCGGGGTCCCAGATGTCTCTCTTTCCCTGGGACACCTTTTCCAGTTTCTTTGCATATTTCACAGCTGAAGTCAGTGTGGGAGTTGGACAAGGTGAAAGGGCTGAAGCTAGAAGTTCTGTGGCTAGATGGGAACCCCTTGTGCAGAAACTTCCCATACAAACCTGCCTATGTAAGGTCAGTGATAATGCTGGCCACATTTGCTAGGGACCTTCACTCTCCAGTAGCCTGAGCTGCCCCTGCTGTGTTGTCTGCAGGACGAGGTGGCCCTGGTCCTCTGGAAGACCATAGGCCTTGCACTGTCCTCTCTCCCTCTGTCCCTCAGCTGAGCTTAGAGGTCTCCTTTCCTTCCTCTGACCTGCTCACCTTTTCTCCTTGTCTGGGGTGTGTTTCCCACCTCTCTACATACAGCCACCTCCAGCCTGCCCTCCATGAGTGTGATCCAGGAAGCAGGGCTTCCCCTCCTCACCCCTCCCCAGCATGTACAGCCTTGAGCCATATGCTGGTCCCTGGACAGAGAAGGGTCTTCCAGCCCAGGGCCTCATGCCTCCATGCTGAGATGGGGCTTCCCTGCTTGTGCTGAGATGGCCGTCCTTCCCTTACCCCAGAAAGGGCCCCCCAACTGTCCCAGGCTGATATGGGGGCTTTCCTGCCCCAAGTTCAGGAGAGAGGCCCTGGGTGACTGCCATCATGACATCTGATTGTATGGCCCAGTGCAAGAACCTGGGCCCTCCTCAGGGAGACACACAGACACACACACATACCCCAAATTCGCATATAAGAGTAGAGATTTCCATGACCCCATGATGAAGATACCCACAGTAATCTCACTCATGGAATTTCCAGGGCCATTTCACACCTGGCCTCTGACCCTTGTTCCCACTGGGCCTGTTCACCTCACTGGTCATCCAGTACCACCTCCCTCACTTCCACTGCTAACTTCCTCTTTCCTTCTCCATGATGGCCAAGACCTATACCTGCCAATTATTGTTGACACAGATATCCTTGAGTTAATAAAGCCATGTAAGGGGAGGAAGAAGCTCCAAGCAAGATTTGGGATGTTGAAAGGGAGGCTTTGTCAACCACATAAATCCAAGTTGTCCAGAAAATCTATAAAGGATCTGAGACCTTAAAGCGTGTAGCTTTGCAGTTCCTGGAGCAGTAAGTACCCCTGGGACCACAAATAAGGGGAAGGCTGGGACAGGCTGGGCCACCCAAGCACAGGTCTGCTAACAGGAGTTGTCAAACCTCATTTGGGGCCAAGATCACAGGAATGGCCTGCCCTCATTGCTCCCCTTCAGGTATTACTTGATCTATGACTCTGGTGATCGAAAGGATCTCCTTGCATCTTACCACGATGAGGCCTGCTTCTCCCTGACCATTCCCTTCAACCTCAAACAGCCTCATGAGTACCACAGGTCAGACTCTGTTCTGGCCCCATGTGGCTCCCCAGCAGACACAGGCCAGCTCCTGAAAATACCCGCACTGGCTGACCACATCCTGCTCCTCTTTTTCTTCTAGGGGCAGCTTTTGCAAGTACTTCAAGGATAACAGGAATATGAAGAAGGTGAAGGACCCCTGTAAGTGTGTGACGGGCAGGGTAAGGGCAGGGAGTGAAGGGGACAATCATAGGGGCCAAAGGCCAGGCTGTGGCAGGCCCGGATCTCCTCTTCTGCCCCCTTCTACAGACCTGCGGAGGCGGCTGCTGAAGCACACAAAACGTGACATCGTGGACTCCCTCAGTGTGTTGCCCAAAACTCAGCATGACCTCAGCTCCTTCATGGTGGACATGTGCATCCAGACGGTGAGCACTTGCTTCCTCCCTCGGGCAGCACCAGAGAGAAGGAGGCGGTAGGAGGTTAAGGAGGATCCTGAGCTACCGAGTTCTTCCCTTTCAGGATACGATGCTCTGCTCTTCTGTCAGTGGGGTGTTCAAGGAAGGTTAGTGACTGTAGAGTCCCCTCTCCACAGCACTCATTGCTCCCTCTCCCTGGCTGAACTCCATCTCAGAGTTCTCCCAGCTTCCCTGATTCTGTTACTTGCTTTCCTGTTCTTCCCTTTGTGTTCTCCTGTCCTCACTCTGCCCCTGAATCTTCCTGGTCTGACCTGGGTCCACACCCGTCTGCCCTGCACACCTCAGGCATTAGGGACATGGGCTGTGGAGTTCAATGCCTCTAATCTCAGGTCCTTACTCTGCAAACTTGGTCTGGTTACCTAACCCCTCAGATTCCTTATTTGCAAAATGGGCTAATAATGCCTATCTCTTGGGCTACTGTGAAACAGGAATCAAGTGAACTTTTGTGAAGTGGTTTTCACAGGGCCCCCTGCACATGATAGGGGCCCTATCACAGGAAGCAGATTGTTCCCATTGTTGCCTCCCCATTACTGCCCTCCTGACTCCACGTGAACAATTGTCTCAGTCTGCCCTCCTTCAGAGTGAGTGTCAAGTAAGACGCTGACTGGGGAATGCTGCGTGAGTGTGTAAAGCATATGCAGCTCTAAGGGGATATTACTGTTTATTGTCCTTTAAGTGGAAGGAAAGTGTCAGGGTTCTATTCGTACCTTCACCTGGATCTTCATCACTACTCCTGGCAGCAATTACAGGTAAGTGCTGTGTTGTGGGTGGGAACACCCATCCCAGCCTGAGGCCAGTGGTGTGGGAATGTGGTGGTGTAGTCCCTGGGTATTCTCAATATTGTGGAAGGACAACAGGTAGAGCCCAGAAGGAGCAGTCTAGGTTAGTGGTTAAGAGCATGGGCTCTGGAGTTGGAGCATGTTTTCTCTTCCTGACTCCCACACTTATTAGCCTTGTGACATTTTTCTAGTCACATGACCTGTCTCTGACTCAGTGTCTTCCTTTGAAAATGGCAGTTGAAGTGCTCTCTTCATTGGGCTGTCCAGCAGGGTGAATGCGTTGGGGTTAAATCTACAATTCTAGTTAAGCTGGGCTCCAAAAGTGGGCCCAGTGGAAGGAGTGGAGTGTACCAGCCAGGAAAACTGGGAGGCAGGCACAATCGAGGTATGGAAGGAATCTGCATACCAAGTGTCAGTGGGTGTGGGATCATCATTGGGGGTACAGGATTGTCCACCTCTTCAGTTGTCTGATGGCTCATTTTTCCTCTAGCCTGCACACAGTGAACGATAAGCTGATTATGACGAATGCCAGCCCCAATGAGATCCAGAGTTCCTTCTCCATTCCTGTGGCCACATCCTGCTCTAGCTCCATGCCCACTCTCTCCCAGGAGCAGCAGGAAATGGTGCAGGCTTTCTCCATGCAGTCTGGGATGAAACTTGCATGGTCTGAGAAGTAAGTGCTGGGTGTTCACAGAAATGGGATGAGCTGGGAGACTGAGTGAGTGAATAATGGGAACTTGTAAACAATTTGGAAAAATAAGTATTTGGATATTTTGCTTCCCAAATAAAGTGGGTTCATAAAAGGATATCCTGAATTTATACTGGTATTTGAAAAGAATTTTTAAAACAGTATAATATTCAGCTGACCTGATCTTGTATATGAAAAATCCTAAGAAATCCACTGAGAAACTATTATAAGTGACAAGTTCAGCAAGGTTGCAGGATATAAGATCAGTATACAAAAATCATTTGCATTTTTTTGCACTTGCATTGAGCAATCCAAATGTAAATTAAGAAAAGAATTTCTTTTATAATAGTCTCAAAAAGAATAATAAATACTTAAGAAGAAATGTAACTAGAGAAGTGCAAAACTTATATTTTGAAATCTGTAAAACATTTTTGAAATAAATTTTAAAAGACCTAAGAAAAATGGGTGAACACCCCCATGTTCATGAATTGGAAGACTTTAATATTGTTAAGATGGCAATTCTACTCAAAGTGGTCTACAGACTTAACACTATTCCTAGCAAAATCCCAGCTGGCTTCATTCTAGAAATTGACAAGGTTATCCTAAAATTTGTATGGAAAAGCAATTGACTCAGGATAGCCAAACAATCTTGAAAGAGAACAAAATTGGTGAACTCCCATTTCCCTGTTTCAAAATTTATAACAAAGCTACTGTAATCAAGTCTGTAGGCGGGTGCGAGATGAGGCCTGTGGGCCTTAGCCACACCCCCACCCCACATCTAGGCAAGAGTGGGATCCAGCTGATACCTGGGGTTCTGAGACAGGGACCAGGCCAGCCCCATCCAGACCTGCAACCAGATTTTACAATGTACTTATTAACCATATGTGTTTCTTTAGGTGTGTGACTTATCTGCTCATGTCCTTCACCAAATTTCTGTTTAGATTTTTCTAATTCATGTTTAAGAGTTCTTTTTGCAATAAAGGTGTTAATCTTAGTGTGTATTTTAAAAAGTAGAGAGTAGAATAATGGCTACCAGAGGATGATAGGTATGGGGGGGAGGAGGAGGGGTGAACTAATGGGGACAAAACTATACTGTCTACCATAAGTGAATCATTGTTTAGTATGTGCATGTATTGAAACAACACACTGTACCACACGAAAATAAATATAAATTGTAAGAAAAGGGTATATCTATTTTCCTGTATATAATATATTCAGTGAGTTCTTACAAAAAAAAAAAAAGTCTGCATAGACTGCATGGTACCAGCATTTGGATAGATATAGAGATTAATGCAATAGAATTGAAAGTCCAGAAATAAACTCTGATGTTTATGGTCAATTAATTTTCAATCAGTTACCAAAAAAATTTAATGGAGAAAAAATAGTCTGTTTAAAAATGGGGCTGGGACAACTGGGCATCCACAAGCAACAGAATGAACTTTGACCCCTACCATGCACCATATACAAAACATTGACTCAAAATGGTTCAAGACCTAAAAGTAACAGGTAAAAATCCTGAGCTGCACAAAAAGCCTTCCCCAGGAAATCAGCAGCAAAGCAGAAATTTAGCTCAAACACAGGGCTCAAGTGCTGGTTCCCTCAGGAAGTATTTTAGAAGTAACCAAAGGACAAGAAATTAGTCCCAGTGCAGAGTTTAATAGCGAATAAGCCAATGCAGAAATACAAAAAACAAAAACCCAGAGACCAGGGCCAAAGTTCTGATATTATTAACCGGAAAAGGTCTAACACCACCAAAGAACACATATAAGACATAGATGGACCGGAAGCCCCCCAGGCTCCCAAGTGGTGGTGGGGGTAGGACAGAGAGCCTCAGCCACACACCCCCATGTCCACATCCAGATGAGGGACAACCACTAGGCCACTGCCAGAAGTTCTCCAGGTTCCAGAGCTGGGGCAGTGGGTGGCCAAAGTCCTTGGCTGTGCATCCAGCACAGCAACAACCAGCAGGCCACTCCTGGAAGTACCCAGACTCCTGAGCCAGGGTAGAGGGGGCCAGGGACTCAGCCGTGCCCGCCCCCATGATGTCCATATCTAGCCCAGCAAGGACCACCAGGCTGCTGCCAGAAGTGCTCTGAGCTCCCAAGATGGGGCAGTTGGGGGCTGAGGGCCTCAGCCACACACACCCCCAAAAGTCCCCATTCAGCCCGGCTAAGACACACACACCCATTTCTCTTCCTCCCACCCTATCTCTCTCCCCTTTCCTTTCTCCCTCTCCCCCACATGTGCTCCACAACATTTATCTTAGAATGTAAAAAAATAATAATTAAATTAATATTCATTTAGACAAAGTGAATAAATAAAAGTAACAGCTAAAACTATAAAGCTCGGAAAAGAAAACATACGTGTATATATTCGTGACCTTGAATTAGGCAATGGTTTCTTATATATGACACCAAAAGAACAAGTAACCAAAGAAAATATACGTAAATTGTATGTCATTAAATTAAAAGGTTTTGTGTACCAAAGGACACTATCAAGAAAGTGAAAATACAACCCCCAGACGGGGAGAAAAATATTTGAAAATCTCATGTCTGATAAGATCTACTACCCGGAATATATGAAAGACTCATAACTCAGCAATAAAAAAGAATTGTAACAGGAGATAAAACATGGCTATACCAGTACAATTCTGAAGACAAAGCACAATCAAAGACTTGAGTTACCTAGAGATATAAGTAGTCCAATCAAAGTGAAAATGTACCAGTCAAGAGCAAAGATTATGGCAGCAGGTTTTTGGGATGTTCAAGGCATTTTGCTGCTTGAATTGCTGGAGGCCCAAAGAACCATAACATCCGTTTATTACGAGAGTGTTTGGAGCAACTTAGCCAGAGTTTTAGCAAAAAAAAAAAAAAAAAAAAACACCCAGGAAACATTCAGCAGAAGGTCCTTCTCCACTACCACAACATTTCTGCTCATTCCTCTCATCAAACAGGGGCAATCTGGGGAGAGTTTCAACAGGAAATCATTAGGTATTAACCTTACGGTTCTGATTTGGTTCCTTCTGACTTCTTTTTGTTTCTTAATCTTAAAAATTCTTAAAAGGCACCTATTTTTCTTCAATTAATAACGTAAAAATGACTGTATGGACGTGGTTAAAATCCCAGAACCCTCAGGTCTTTAGGGATGAACTAAAAGGGTGGTATCACTTAGAAAAGAGTTATAAACTCAACGTAGCTTATGATGAGGAATAAAGTTTATATTTTTTATTTTTATCTTTTAATTCCCTTTTTCCATGAACGTTTCTATATTCTCTCATGCACTTTAAAATGGTGAATGTGCATCATGTCTCAATAAAAATTACTGGAAATTTGTATTTTTTTAAATTTCTACTTGTGTTTTCTTGAACTTTTTTATTTACTGATATGTGTTAAGCTCCTGTGTTGATTTGAACACCTCTATATTTCTGCTTTGAATTCTGGTGGGCACGGGTGTTAGGGCAGGGGTTCTGGTTTTCTCTAGGTCCTTGTTCATCATCACAACAGTGTTCATGCTGGTACATGTGTCCCAGGAAAAAAATAGCATGGGTTAAGTGGTGGCATTGCAGGGTCTGTCCTGTTGTTGTAATGGAGATTACCTGTTTTTCTCCCACCCCAGGTGCCTTCAGGACAATGAGTGGAACTACACCAGGGCTGGTCAGGTCTTTGCTATGCTCCAGGTGAAGTCTGGGAATCAAGTGGGTAAAATATGGATGTCCCTGGGCCTTTAGGAAGGCCAGGAAGATAGAGGCCGGGTGGATGGGAGATGGAACTCAGGGCACTTGACTCTTCTGAGGTCCCAACTCCTTCCCTTTACTTCCTCCAGACCAAGGGCAAGATCCAACAGGAAGCCTTCAGACAAATCCCCTAAAAGGAGCCCTTGGAAGTGGTCTTTGTCTTCATCCACACCATTTTTGTTTCTCTTTGCACCAACCTGAAGCCACACCCATGACTGGGGTTGGGGGTCTGGCTGAGCAAGAAGCCAAACTAGGCCAGGTAACATAAGCACCCACCCGAAGGGCCAGTTGACTAGTGTGTATTTTCCCCACTCATGATTGCTGTTTGTTTTCTTCATAAAGACTGACATTGCACATTGTATGTTGTGTGTCCTGGATTGCTCTTCCCCTGTCCCAACCTCCAAGCAGTGGGGCCAGGACTGAAAGGACCTGTGTGTCCCAAGCCCCCTCCCCATCCCGTTCATCCCTGGCTTGCCCTGGCAGATAGGTCAGGCTTGCCTCCATAGGGAGTTTGTCAAT